ATTATACACGTGAAACTAACCACGTGGACTGAATTGTTCACGTGAAACTAACCACGTGGACTGAATTGTACACGTGAAACTAACCACGTGGACTGAATTGTACACGTGAAACTAACCACGTGGACTGAATTGTACACGTGAAACTAACCACGTGGACTGAATTGTACACGTGAAACTAACCACGTGGACTGAATTGTACACGTGAAACTAACCACGTGGACTGAATTGTTCACGTGAAACTAACCACGTGGACTGAATTGTACACGTGAAACTAACCACGTGGACTGAATTGTACACGTGAAACTAACCACGTGGACTGAACTATACACTTTTAGCACTTGTGACGTGTAAGTTGGATCATACATACTCATGAAACTCAATGTGTAGACTAAACTGTATTCATTTAGCACTTGTTACAAGTAGGCTGGATCATACCTACTCATGAAACTCACACCATATAGACTAAACTATATACTTTTAGCACTTGTTACAAGTAGGCTGGATCATACCTACTCATGAAACTCACACCATGTAGACTGAACTATATACTTTTAGCACTGGTGGCCCTGTAAGCTGGATCATACATTCTTACGAAACTCAATGTGTAGACTAAACTGTATTCATTTAACACTTGTTACATGTATGTAGGATCATACCTACAGCCAGGGGTTAAACTGTGGCAGATTGGTCTGGAATGGAGTTCTGCCTTTTGAATATTCATGTCATTAGTGTTCCTGATCTTCTGACTGGAATGTCAAAGTGGATCACAAAAGGGAATTCTACCTCTTTCAAAATTCCAAATTAACCAGTGCATACACATGAAATTCATATCATGTAGAGTGAACTCTATTCATTTAGCACATGTTGCATGTAGAATGAATCACACACACACACACACACATACATATAGGAAACTCAAACATGTAGACTGAACAATGAAAAAATGCATTCTAATTTTTATAAGCAAGAACATAAGGAAGGTATATTTAATTAGCTGTACTCATTACCAGATTGATTTTTAGTTTTACTCTGATCGAAAGTAATATTAATTGCACACATTTAGCACTTGTTACATGCAGACATCATACACCACATAAACGCATGATCATATCATGTAGATTGTATGCACTTGGAAGTTTTGCCTATCTATTGAAGCTTACTCGAATATGGAACTTGCAAATGTATATTGCAAGCTTAAATTAAGAGGAGAGTAAGCCATATTTTTCTGGTAAGAGCCAGCTACTAACTGACAACCAAAAACGTTGTATTTCATGAATTCTCACTTACACTTCATCTTCAGCTCTACTCAATATAAGCAGCTGAGAAGAAACTTAATAATTACTATCTATTAGTGAGAGAATTCAGAAATAAAACTTCCTCTAAGTCTTATAATATACAATTTTTTTATGTAGATTCCTAACACACACATTTCAGATTCTAACAATTATAGATATTGCATTGAGTTTTTTTTTTTTTTATATATTTGTTCTGATAATGCTTTCAGACACCTTTTATACCAGAGCTTCACAGCCTTACCTTTGGCATTTATTGGCTAAGATTTTTTCACTAACAAAGTTGACAGCTCTTTTCATGATGATGTATGAAGAGAATAACAAAATTAGATAATATATATTATTTTTATCACAAACTCAGAACAAATAAGAAACAAGTCTATCACTATCAATTTCTTCTTTCTCAGAAGAATCTTTGACTTGACTCCATTATCAGTTACTTAGTTTTGTATATATTTTAATAGTCGAGAGAGTTGAGTACCAGTTGACACTCCCAGAGGTTGTGCTGGCTCATCTGGTGCAGGCCAGCCAAAATGTAGAAGAGAGTTAATTTATTGATGTTACCAGTGGCCTTCTAGCTGTATAGCATCCTACTAATTCCCCATCCTTTGCTTTTCATAGATACGCCATACAGTACTTCGTTTTCCAGCAGTCTCATTCCCTCTGAATGTTGATAAAGAGCTTCCGTGGTTGCCATTTTCAACAGAGGAAGTCACTATCCTGACAGTAAAGTTGTGTTATATTTGATGTAGGGGCTTCTTTTGTGAACTTGTCAACTTCCTCGTTTAAATTTACCCATGCATGGGTTAGCACATAAATTCAGGTGATGGTTTTATCATGCAGTTGGTTTACTTTCTGGGGGCCATCCACTTTTAAATTTATGCAATACAACCCTGAGTCAGTTGCAGATATGGTGGGGCACTATCTCTTTGTGGGTCATTCCATTCAGCATTTCAAAGGAGAGCTTGCTTTATGGCTTCCAGCTCCATCCTTGTGCTGCTTGTGGGAAGCTTGAATGCTATATTAACATTATAGAGAATATTGTTGCCCTATGAGACCATGAATATCAACTATTTAATAGTAAGGTAATTAAGCACCATGTCACCATTCAGTGCACTGCTGATATCATTCCACACTACACCATCTCTGACAACATCATTACATAATGGTTTGGTTGATCCTGACAGTTATCCCAAGGATCAAATTGTGGAGAAATGTTATTTTTATTGTTATTACTCAGACACACACACACACACTTCCATACTTTACTTCAGTTCATACAATTCTCTTCAAATGTACAATAATTACAAGAGAACACAAAACCTGTTGTGCTTCAAGTTAAACTGAAAGTCTTGTCAGATTGTCCTGATGCCCAAAAAGGTTTCTTAGCTCTAGACAAATGGTTGGTTAATTCTTTAACAGATGTAGCCAAAGTATTATTGCTGTGCTGTATTAAAAGTGTATGTTTTAATGCTGGCCAACTGAATCAGTTCGATTTCAGATAGGCTTATCCACTTAGGAACAGGTAGAAAGTAATGATAATTTAAATTTGACTAACATGTTACACATAGAAGAAACTGTTACATATACTTTGGCTTGTAGAAACAACTCTCCCTCCACCACAATAATTTAAGTTTGACATAAAAGGAGGAACTAGGGCAGGCATTGCCCCGAGGCCTGCAATGCCTAGAGGCCTGATCTGGTCTTTTCTTCTGAAAAAAGGGGCCCCAATCATTTCTTTGCCCCAGGGCCCCTGAAATGCTTGTTATGCCACTGAGAGAAACACTATAAAATTGAAAAATACATTACCAAGAGAATAACAAACCTTGTAAAAGAAACTTCATAATATTAAATATATTCTTGTGTCTGGAAAATATATTCAGTGAGCTATTGTTTTTAAGTGTTTTGATTAATGAATTTTTTATTCAATTTGTTATTTACTTCTTCGTAAAACTAAGGTGTTAAAAGTATGATTGTCATATTTAAACTCATCTGGTCACTACAAAAGGTATACGGATCCACATGCTTACTTGGAAATTGATACAAGTTGACTGAATCAAGAAATGTGTAGTTGAAATCTTAATAGTACAATAATAAGAATAAAAGGTTTGTTAATTAAAAGATATTATAAGTAATAAGGACATTAGATATAATCAAATTCTCTAAAATGTTTTGAAATTACAACTAGTTAGGATAAAGCTTTAAGTATTATGGTTAAAACATAAACATAGCTACAGCTTTGTTAAACACTTCAACTAAAATAATTTTTCTGAGGTTTAATAGTTGGAGGTGGTTGTGATTCTTTAGGTGGTTGGAGCTTCTGCTAAACCAAGGTAAACTGATGCACACCTAAAACTCTAACTGGTTGATGAACCGAGACTTCTTCATCATAGTCAGTTCACATATTAACAGGTAGGCAAAAAACGACTTACAAGCATAAGGAAGAGTTTTATTGGTGGTGGAACATGCTTTATGTTTTGAAAGAACATTAGTCTTCAGAAACATGTATGCTCCACCATCAATAAAACTCTTCCTTACATTTATAAGTCATTCTTTGCCTACCTATTGTCATATCAGCATAATGTGCTTCATTACTCAGTTCACATGTATTACATACATTTAATGGTGTATTGAATGTAATCACTATCTTTGTAACTAGGGAACCAAAAGCCCTAGCAGCCAGTGCTCACAAAAAATCATTTTCTGTATGCACATGTTATTATGTAAAACTATTACCATTGGGTTTCATGAATGACAGTAGAAAAGATAGTTTTAACTTGTTTCATGTTACTGCACCATAGTGTGTAGTCCTTCAGACAATATCTTCTTAAGATAAATGTGTACATTTCTTTTTTGCTACACTCATTGTTACATAAGGAGCCAAGTCTGCAGGATGTGATTATTTCAGTATATTTTTTTAACAGAATTTCACATAAAATATTATTGTATATTTCATCTAGATGCACATAGAACAGAAGGGACGCGTACCTCCTCCCATTTTTCCTATTAGTGTACATACACTGTTATTAACACTTTTCCAATAAACATTTGGCACTCTTATGAGCAAATGTGAAACTTGACACCCTTAGGAGAAACCATAAAATGCACTTTTCAAACTTGTAAAAAGATCATACTTTTGAAAATTTAATCTTAGCCTATTTGCCCTTTTCATGTTAATTCTGTGAAAGATTGACTCCTTGCCAAGTAGTTGTTCTATAGTTTAAGTGAGTTAAATACTCAAATTTTTGTTGTATTAAAATTAGTTTATTTGTTAATGTTGCTTCAGGATTTTGATTGTGTCATAGCTCATTTATATAGTTTACCATGATATATAAAAAAGCAAAACATGAATATTTCAGATTTATCACATTTAATTGAGGAACAAGTTAATTTTCTTGTCATCAGTGTATGTGGAGTGTCAAATAAAGATTAAACATTTATAGGAAAACAATAATTTTCAACTTTTGTTAATATATTCACTTTAATAAAAAAAATATTATAAATGGAACTTGAGAATGAATGATATCTGTACATGGTGAAACATAAACAATATCTGTAGAAACGCAAATAACTTATAATAATTAACTGGGATTGAGAATAAGGTGAACAATGATACTTCAATAAGGGCTTGAAATACTAAGATTATATTTGAGTTAAGTAGTTAATGTAAATTTATGCTCAATTATCTGACTATTTGTCATTCTGCAGAACCTAACTGGCTTAAGTCTTCAATACAACTCTCTGTTACCAAGCGGTATTTCAATTCTGGCTCCTCAGATTAGCAGTTTAAAGAATCTGTCAGCTCTGGACCTTTCTTGCAACATTATAAACCTAACAGAAAACCCTGATGTCAGAGATGTAGTTTCTGGAATGCTGTCCTCTATGCATAATCTGAAAAGACTTGATTTCAGCAACAACAGAGTGGGAAATTGTCTGAGAGAACTTCTATCAACCAAAGAGGGGAAGTTTACAGCCAGTAGTAGCAATAGAAGCACAGATTCTCCTCAAAGCTTGGAGTATCTAAAGCTGTCAGCCTGCAGATTGACACAAAGTGACCTTCTGTATATTTCTACCAGTAACCATAGGTTTACTCTCCGGGAACTTGATCTTGGTGAGAATGTGCTCTTCATTTATATGAGCAGGTATGACTTCTTGCTGTATATTGGTATTTTCTCTTGTTTGTGTAATATGGGGGATAGATGTAGGGTTTTTATATTCTTTTATGGTATAAATAATGTGACAGAAATACAGTGAAATAGAGTTTGTTTAGTTAAATCTGTATTTTCATTAATTTGGAAATATGGACCACTGTGGTATTGTATTCTGTGTAACAAGTATGATACACTTCATATAACCTGGGAGTTATCACACTTGAAGTTATTTTAATAGAGACAGATTACACAATAACATTTTGAAGAAAGAGAACTTGCTTTATTACCACTATTTATCAATAGAAAGTAATGATAACAGCCCCGAGTTATGCCTATGCTATCTACAAAATCGTAAAAACAAATAACTTTTCTCCTTTAGTAATTAAACTGCTAGTATCCCTAAAACTAAAATTCCTTGACTGTCATTCAGGAATTTTAACACTAAAAAATTTTCCTAAATTATAAGTTACAATGATTTTAAGTTTTAGAATTTACCCAGTCTAGTCTTTCACCACAATTCCTTAAAGGAGAACTCCAGGTTGGAGACATCAGCAACTTAAAACATCAAATGGATGCTGAAACATAAATACAGGGCGTCTAAAATAGTTTGACAACATTCCCCAATCAAATATTACTATTTTCCTTTATATAATGCGTGCATATGAATGACTTAATAAAACACCTCTGTACTCATGTACTCTTATTATGTGTTGCAGAATCCTGTAATTGGAAGTAGTCCAAATCCATGGAAAGATGTGCAAAAATCCGTGGAAAAGTTTAAAAAGAGAAATTCCGCACACTTCCATGGATCATCTTCTATATATTTGATATTTGCAGTAAAAATGTAAATCAACTATACATAACTATATCGGTCATTTTGTCAGTAAAACCAAAACAAAAATATTGAAATGCAGTTTGTCCATACGGTAAAAACAGTTATGTAATAAAAGACATTAAAGTATTATTAAAAGTATGTTTAATTCTATGGCTGCTGTTCATAATTACAAAAACAAACTTGCCACTATAAACTACTTTAGCGATTTATTGCTTGAACTGCTTGGAGCACCCTACCACCCCCCTTTCATGTTCTTCCATTCTTGTCATAAAAAAACTAGTATAACTGACTTCAACTCCTCACCTTACATAAACTGTCTGTCTTTTTTCCCCCCTTTAAACCTGCCTTCACACTCAATTTTCTTTCACATCTTGCACTTATCTCCATTATTCTGCTTTATATTTGAAATGTCTTTTGACACATACATGGATCAATTCTCAAAGAGAGAAAAAGTGGAGCTTTATAACAGTGAACTTATCTGTTTATCAGATTTTGCTCAAAACACACACACACAAATACACATACACACAATTTAGAACAGCGTATTAAGTGATTGTGTGTACAGTAGCAGAAGACATTTTTGGGTTCTTTGTTTTTGTCTTTATTTTTTTTTGTTCATCTTCCTGCTTTCTTTAATTAGGGCATTAACCGCCTGATTGTAAGATGGAAAAGCATCATTGATAAGAATGGAGACTATTTCATTTAATAAATGTTTTGTTTTGATATATAAGTTGTTCGGGTTTTTCATGTAAAAAAATGGACATTAAATTC